AATACCATGTCTTATATTGCAATGTCTGGGACCTCCTTACTCTTTGTGCGTCTTAATATGGAGAACAGAAACATCTAGGCATCCTTGAATGGTGGAGAGTATCAAAAACTATGCTTCAAAAGGTCTTTGGAAGCAGAAGGGCCCTTGCTGCTTATGACTTCACTGTCCTGCTCTCTTGATTCTCTACTGTGCAGGTTCAGGCCCTGTCCCCAAAGTGCAAAGGCCCTTACCGCACTGAGTCTGGGCTCCTGTATTCTGTGTCACACTCCTAGTGAGGAGAGGGACCAAGCAGAGCAGGCCTGGCATGTCATGGAGAGAAGCTGGAGATCTGGGTGTGCTTTGGTGGGACACTCAGCTCAGGTGCTAAACCCAGGCCATGTGCATGTTTTCCTCAAGTCTAACCCCCTTTGATACTCATTTGATGGTGATTTGATGATACTGCAGGGCCGTGTTTGACAGACTGTCTTACATACTTACATGTGCATTCATGGATATGCAGAAACATCTATGTTCTCTCTCTCTCATACCCACACACTACACACACACACACACCACAGACACACATACAAGGAGAGAATTTACATAAGGTTTGATAAGCAATTTATTAAGGGGTGCAATGAGCAGGGAGTAAGGCTGAAGTCACTGCTGACCCTAAGCTGCCTCTCTGTCTCTTGGGTCTCCCACATGCCAAGAACGAGCCAGAGCAAGGGAGAGCCAGCGCTGTCTCTTCCAACTTTTCAGTCCTCACACAGCACCAGGCCATGTCCTAAGGTCAGTACCCCAAAGCTTTTGGAGGAAAGAATTCCTACAACATACTACACATACTTCATACACACTACACACACATACTGCACACCACACACACTACACACACATACTACACACACATACACATACTACACACACACACTATATACACATTACACAGCATACTACATACCACACACACACTACACACACACATACACATACACATGCTACACCCACAACACTACACACACTGCATACATACTCCACACACACATAGTACACACTCACACTCACACACATTACCAAACCTCAGATCTGAGGCCCTCAGAAATGGCATGAGGTCAGACTCCTTGCAGGATTTGATGTCAGCTTCTGCTGTGAACAATCAAGGTCACCTGGACCCTATCTCTTCCAGAGGGCATAGTTCTTCAACGCTCTCAGGAGCAAGTGGTCAGGGCTCTGAGTGTAGAATGACGTTTGGCTAATGGAGTAACATTATCTCTGAGGTATGGAGGCCTTGATGGAAAAGCCATCTTAAAACCCAAGTGTAGTATGGTTTTTGGAATTTTCTATGGTTTTAAGTTGTCAGGAGCTCTCCACCCTTTCCAGCACCACCCTGATGAGTTGGAAGACAGTTTTCACACTTGCAAGAGCCTTGTAGCTCTTTTTCACCAGCAGATTCAGAAGAAGAAAAAGATTATACATATTCTGAATCCCTCTGACAGGTTGTGGAAGAAGTAGGCAAGAAACCAGTGAGGGCAAGATAACGTGCCAAGGACTCTGAGATGAGCAGTGACCATAGCCTGAGGGAGGCCTGAGCTGGGTTCCTAGAGCAAGTCAAGCCTTATGAAGGGTGGCAGGAATTAGCGGGGCGCCCTAGCAGAGTGATTGGGGAAGGTATGGATGTGGTCAGCGTTGCTGAAGCATCAGATAGAATGTTCTTCTCAGAAGGGGACCTGCAGACTAAGTCACATTCTGTGGAAGAACCCCTGAGCCTTGTCCTGTGGCAGCGAGCACCCGCAATGTAGCTAAAGCAACACTGTACACCAAGACTAGGAACAGACAGCGCGTGGGGGGGGTACTGTGGGGCTTTGTAGGCGTTTGTTCACTCACTCAATCCTCTACAATACCCACGTATGGATATGGTAGTATTCCCAGCTGACAGTTGAGGAGCCGAAGACAAAGAGTGCCACCACCACAGCCACCAGCTCCTACACAGTGGGACTGGGATCTCAGTCTAGGAAGTCTGCGATCTTAGCTATCCTATAAGTAGCTTATCAATTATACTTTTATAGCCATCTCTTTTCAAAGGGGATCTTAGGGGATTTACAATAGAATCACTACTATGCATATTAAAGTTGAAGAGAAAGAGACCAGAAATGGGAAAGTAATGGGGCCAGGAACTCTAATCCCCACCTGAGATGTCTGAGAAGCCTGTCACTGTCAGGTTGCAGCCTCTCCTTTCAAGTACAGGTGTACATACCGGGTCATCTGGAGAGAACCCAGCTTCCTGTCATCCAGAGTTAATCTCTGGCATTGTAACGCAAATGATGTATTAGTCTTCTAGAACTGTTGTAACAACTGACCCCAAATTTCATGGTTTAAATAATAGCACTTTATTTTGTCACTATTTCAGAAGCCTACTGTCCACAATCACCATACTGGGGAGCTCTGATGGGCACCAGTTCTCTCTGATGGGCTTCTCTCTCAGTTCTGGTAGCTGTAGATAAGCTCTGACCTTCTTGGATTGCTGGTATATTACCCCAGTCTTGGCTTCTCTGTTTCTTTTACCAAAAATTTCCTCCCTCTCTCATAAGAACACCAAACATTGGACTAAAAGCCCACACCAAGCCCAACATAGTCTTATCTCAAGATCTTTAATTATATTTACAAAGACTCTGTTTCCAAATAAATTCTCATTCCCAGGTAGCTGAGATTAGGACTTTAGCATATCCTTTGGGGGGTCATTCTACAAGACTATACAAGACATTCAATAGCAATTCTGCAAAAATAATTGAGTTATTTCAATAACTACCACAGTGATAAAACCATTTCTTGCAGTAATAAAAGCCAAGGGTAGATTTCTGATTGCAATTTGGTCCACTTGAGATAGGAAGCTGCATCTAATTGGACCTCCAAGGGCTTATTTGTCCTTCGGAAAGAACCTCCAAATAGAATACCACGTGATGAATACCATTGTGGTCATGAGAACTTCACCGTGGTGGACTCGGGCTTACTTCCCGGCTCATATTCAGCTACTTTTGTTATACAACTCGGGAGCACCTGCTTGGGTGGCCCTGCCCACAGTGTGCTAGGCCCCCTCCATCAATTAGCTGTCAGTGCAAGGCTCCACTAAAACTTCCACAAGCTAATCTGATGGGGCAGTCCTCACGTGAGGGTCCCTCTTCCCAGGTGTCTCTCGTTTGTGTCAGGTTAACAAAAGCTCACCAACACAAGGCCAAGATCTGTTGGAAGCTGTCACAGCTTGGGCATGCATGCAGCTTATCAGAGAGCATTTTTAAAAATACAAATGGTTGGCTGGGTGGTGGTGGCGCATGCCTTTAATCCCAGCACTCGGGAGGCAGAGGCAGATGGATCTCTGTGAGTTCGAGGCTGGGCTGGACCGACAGCTTCCAAAACAAAACAGAGAAACCCTGTCTCGTAAAAACCAAAAAAAAAAAAAAAAATACAAATGGTCCAGTTGCACCCAAGGCAAACAACACTGACTTCTGTTGTCCCTATTCAAAAATAAAGGTTAATTTTACATTTTTATGTGCCTGTGTGTGTGTCCATGTGCACATGCATGCATATGTGTTTACAGTTGCTCAAAGAGGCAATAATAGGGAGTCAGTCCCCTGGTTGTGAGCGGCCCAGTGTGGATGATGGGAGCTGAACTCTAGTTCTCCAAAAGATCAGAAAATCAAAAATGGTCTTAACCATTATCTCTAACCCCTGCTGTCTCTTCTCTTAAACTGGGTTTATAACAAGAATCTTGGGCACAAAGTGGTTAGGACAACCCATTCCAGGTGTCTTCTGGTTTTCTGTCTGGTGGTATTAGGAAGGGGAGGAATCCAAGTGGGTGCAGCCTTGATATTCTGTTTGGGTTTGTTTCACTGGCTTTTTTTTCCAAAAGAAGATACTTAGAAGCCAGGTGGTGATGGCACACACCTTTAAGCCCAGAACTATCAAGGCAGAAGCAGAAGCAGAGATAAGTAGATCTTTGAGTTTGAGGCCAGTCTGGTCTACAGAGCAAGTTCCAAGAACAGCCAGGGGTACACAGAGAAATCCTGAACCTCAATATCCTCATCTCTGAAATAGGTAGATAGATTTAGCTCATTGAGTTGTTACAAAGATTAGGGGAAATCTCACTTGTAAAGTACTTAACACAGCTGACAGTATAGAAGGAACTGCAGTAAAGGTGTCACGATGTGTCCTAGAAAGCCTGGTGTCCTAGGGACTTGCTGAGAACATCTATCTCTAGCAGTGGAACAGAATGCAAATGAACATCCATTCCAACCCCACCCCTAGTTATGAACAATGTCCTGGCCACTTGCTCTGGTCTCTTCACGACAAGGTTATTGTTTTGCTATTCAGCAATCACTGTTTCCCGGGGCAAAGGCCCTTTAAGGAGTTTCTTGAGTCCTGCTGGAGCAGGGGCTGTCGAGAGGGGGTATTGGGAGGTTCCGGTGCAAGGTTGGTGCCCCAAATAAGCTAGGTTGTCTTTCCTGCTGATTCATCTCAGACCTCAGTGTAAATACCCGACACTTTCGGTTACCGTAACTAGACCCCAGGAGGGCAGCTTTTCTAGGTTGAAGGCAGCAGCCTGATTTCAAATAAGAGTATTTTCAGAAGTAACAAACGTAGCTTTATACTGGACCCTTGTTAAATAGGACTCATAAAAACTTCACATACACCCCAACTTTTTCTTGTGAGTGTTACTTCAGATCAAACCCAGGAACTTGTGTGTGCTAGGCAGGTGAACTATCATGGAGCAATACTCCAGGACTCTTCTAACTTTGATCTACTCAAAACCTGGCATGCAGACTTCCAGGATCTGGTCCAACCTACCTTGCAGATAAGGTTGCTATCAGACTTGTAGATTCATCTGATCAGGTTACCACAGCAATATATCATGAACTGAATTCCTGAACAAAATAAACTTTTTCGCCCTGGGGGTTGCAAGTTCAAAATCAAAGTGTTGTTATGACTGGGTTCTGGTAAGGGTTCTTGCTGGCTTTTGATGGGTGTTTTCTTGTGTTCTCCTCGGCTTTTTCTGTCTTGGAGAGTGACTTGCTTATAAGGACGTGTTGTGTGACTTTTCCTGGCAAGATGTGAAGGAATCTCTATTTATCCCAAATAGAGTGCTGACGACTGACAAAGAAATGCCCGGCTAAGTCCAGGTTCCTGCCCTGTGAGCTCATTGTGGCTACTTAAGAGCATGGTTGAATCAAGACAGTTATGTCACAAAAAGCCTACTCAAGTATTTCAGAAAGCGGCACCCCCAAGTCCCTTGCACAACTTTCAGGTAGCTCCACCACGGAGACCTCTCTCTGTGTTGGCTTGAATGCACTGTTGATGAACACATAGTCGTTAATATCAAGAAATTGAAAACATTCACTCTTGGGGTGATTTAACCAAGAGCAATCCCAAACTTGAATTCTATTTCTCTCTGCTAATGTCTTCCTTGTCTGCCCTCTGTAATCTGTCTGTTGTATGAGTCTGAAACTGTGCCTCCCTGAAACCTATGTCCGTCTGAGTGTATCCCTAACAACGGACTTTTGCTCGGTATTTATTAAGCAGCACAGAAAGTATCATGCTGGGATAGGAATGGGGTACTTTACTGAAATCATTAACAGCTTTACAAGGGTCAAGTCACCTGTAGGCAGAATGCCAGTCCTGCCAACCACTCCCGGATAACCACACAGAGACTTATTATTAATTATGAATGATCTTCCCACAGCTTAGGCTTGTTACTAACTAGCATTTACAGCTTAACTCACATTTCTGATCTACGTTCTGCCACAGGGTGGTACCTTTTTTCAGCATGGCATATTCACCCCCTGCTTCCTTTGTACCCTGCTGGCAACTCCCTTCTTCCTGAATTCTCTTTTTGTCCACAAGTCCTGCTTATCCTTTAATTGCATAGCTATGGGCCAGTCAACTCTTTATTAACAATGAGAGTAATGCATATTTACAGGGTCCCAAAAGATTGTTCATAGCAGTCACCAACTCCTGCTGACCCAGACAACAAACAAACCCTATTGAGAAAGATCTGTGTGCCTTCCAGCATTCACGATGGACATTTACTTTATAAGATTGCTTTTAACCTATTTGTTGTTTCCAACAAATAACTACCATATCATGTGTACATACACATATGGATTATCTGGGTCAGGAGCATGGAGGAACACAAAATTTAAGATTACAGCTATGCATTAGCTTAGGTTGTAAAAGCTGATTGTATGGGAAGTCCAAGGCAAATAAGGTTGGTTGTTAACTTTGTTCTCTTAAAGGCAGATTAAACAATTGTGTTGAGTAGACAGTAAGATTTCAGTATTAAGTCTTGAGTGGCCTTAAGGTAAATTATTAACTCTGGCTGTAAGGTCCAGCAAAAGCTTCAGTCTCTTAGAAATGTAAGGAGAGCTATTTTCATTATAATGGTCACAATGCCTCTCATCAGCAATTGTTATTACTTATGTAACCTTAGCGAGGACATTGTGAGTCTTGTAAATTTCAGGAGCTACTGCACCTTGAAAGTTTTATTTCCTTTCTTGAGTCTTAGGAGCTTCTCCTGTCTTTCTGGAAGATATATTTCAGAGGAAAATGCTAAGCCCATTGGAACAGGGCCTCACCACTATGACCACATTTAACCTTAATTACTTCCTTTTTATCTGAGTAGAGGGGTTTGTTAAGAGAAGCTTTTTCTTTACTAGCCGCTTTGGTTTATCTCCCGCCAGTTGCCTGGGCTCTGCCGCTTTGTAGTCCCCAAATAAACACACAAGACGCCTTATTAATTATGAAGCTGTTGGCCTTGCTTGTTTCTTACTGGCTAGCTCTGACTTAAGTAATTACCCCATAATTGTTAATCTAAGTATTTCTCTTACCGGAGAATAGTTCCGGGCTTCCTACCCCATGGCATTACATCTTGACTCTCTTGTGTTTCTCCTTCCCAGAGTCCTCCTGGACTCCTAGTCCCTCCTATCTAGATTCCTATTGGCCAGACAGTGCTTTATTAACATAAGACTTCCCCAACAGGGGTTAGTGTTTCCAACATGATTTCAGGGGTGAGTGGGATACAAACATTGAGTCAGTACAAATGTCATCCACTTTCTCTACCTGAAATGGCTTTTTCCTGTCAGCCCACGTGGTCTTCCCTCTAAGCAGGTACCTTTCCCTTTACAAGCTTGAATCCAATTCTTTCCCCTTGTCCTCCTAACTTCAAGCTGAGAGTTCTCCAGGCTTTGAGCTTATGTAACATTACTTTCTGACTTCTCATTTCTTCCTCATATAGTATTGTCTTGAGCCACTTTATTGGCCTGTGGTTCCCTGTCTCAGATTTGCAGTTACTTGTAGAGATTTTGATGTTAGATGAATAGCCCAAGCCTGAAGCAGAATCTTTGGTGGACCCAGAAGTGTGTCTTCTCCAAATGGGTCATCTTTGTGTATGACAATGGGTATGGAATCCACTGCCCTTGATGTTAGTATTTAGGCATCTTTACTAGTCTGCCTTTGGGGTTCTGACAGGATATGCCCTCAGCTGCAGCCACTAAGAGCACCATCTGTGCCTATTCACTGCATTTCCTTTGAAAAGGGCCCTGCCAACCTCCCATCCCTCACTCTCTTTCTCTACCTCTCTCTGCCTATCTCTCTCTCACTCTCTCTCTGTTGCTTTGTCTGTCTGTCTGTCTGTCTGTCTGTCTCTCTCTGTCTCTCTCTCTCTCTCTCTCTGCCTCTCTACCTCTCTTTCCTCTCTCCTGCTGCTCCTGTCACTCCTGAACCCACAGGCTGGTCTCTTCCCTCCTCTTCCCCCTTTTTACAGTCCCTTAATAAAGCCCCTCCACCTGAACTCTGCCTATGAGAATGCCACCCTGGTGCCTTTCTGTATTAGGTCTTTGCTGATGCTTCCTAGGCTTTCTTGCCTTACAGTTCCAAGTGCTCTCTCAATCTGTGGTCCCTAGAGGGAGCAGACTAACTTAGCAAATGGCCGCCAGTCAAAGAAGATTAGAAAATGCTCACTGAAGACCTATGAAGAGTGGAAACTGTTAGTTGCTTTCATACTTCATTTTGTTTTGGGGAAAGATACATGCCATCAAATTGGCTGCTTTACGGTTGAAACTTAGTGGTATTTAAACATTTGCAGCTTTTACATTTTCTGACATATTCCTCCATAACATGTTACCTTTCCATGTAGGAAACCTGGTACCAAGTTAATAAAGCTCTCCTTGTTACTCCTTGTGCCCAGTCCTGGAAGCCACCAATGTGTTTCTGTCTCATGATTCACAGCTCTGCTTGTCCTGGTCATATGAGAGTGGAATCATTCAACGTGTGGCTTTCCTCATCTAGCTTCCTCCAATTAGCATTATGTATTCAGTCCCCAGCGGACATCAGGCTTCATCCCCTTTATGACTGAATGGCGTCCCCTGCAGAAGTATGGCACATTTTTTATTCATATGTAGGTTGGTGGGTATTTGTGTTGTTCCCATCTGCCTGCTTCTGTAAATAATACAATAATGGCTCTTTGTAAGCTTTCGTTTGAGCATTTTTCTAACTATTGGTGCCGAATAAGTCAGGCTTGCTTGGTTGTCATGCTTTGCCAAGAAGTTGGTTGAGGTTACTTATTGTTCCATTAAACAAATCCTAATATTGGAAATAGCACGTCATTTCAGTGGTCAGTTGGGTACAACTCAGGAGGGCACTTGTGCTTAGGGAATCTCATGCAGCTAGGTCTGTCGGCCAGTGAGCTGGTCTAGGGCAGTAGAGCCAGGGAGTAGAGGTGGCAAGCATCTCTTCCTCTTCAGAGAGTCCCAGGGCCTCTGTGTGGCCTCCCTGTGAAGTCCTTCCAGGGCTTTCTTGGCTCATTTCTTGCAGAGCAGCTCAGTGTTCAAAGTTTTTCAAGAAATATAGAGAGTCTTGAGCAGCCATATGACGTCACATCTATTCTCTATTTCCAAGGCAGTGAGAGGCCTACTCATGTTCTAGTGGGGTGGAGAGGGAGCTGGACTCCATCTCTTGGTGGGGAAGTATCGAGGCTCTGGGAGAGTATCTGAGGTTGGAAATACTGTTGCAGCCATTGTGGGAAGAAGCAGTCTGCCAGCGTACACTTTTCTTTTCATTGTCATTTACATATGTATTCTCTCTTCAAGATTCATGGTGTAGTGACATGATAGGAAACTTCAAGTGGTGAGGGAGGGAGGGAAGGAGGGAGGGAGGCAGGGAGGGGAGGGAGGGAGGAAGGGCAGAGTGATGTCAGGTATATATACGCTCTGGTCATGAAGTTACGGTCACAGCCTTTGTTCACTCATCCACCCTTTCAACCAGCATCTACTGAGCACCTAACATCGTGTAATGTTATTATCAGATACTGTGGTGATGTTTCGTTTATGATCTAACAGATAAAACTTGCCTGAAGACCAGAGAGCAAAGATAGACACACTAGTTAGCCATAGAGGCCAGGCAGTGGTGTAGTGCACACCTTTAATCCCAGAACTCGGGAGACAGAGGCAGACAGATCTGTTAATTCAGAGCTACCCTGAGATACAGGCAATTGATCCAATCTAAAAGAGAAACAGCCTGACACAAGGTTATTTCAGCACCTGGGATTCCACTCCTTCAATCCCAGCACTAGAGGGGAATATATGGTGGGAGAAGACAGGAGCTCAGTGCATTTTGAGGTTTGGTGGAGACAGATGCAGTCTGGAGATGTAGTCTGAGGACAGAATCACCCTTTTGGTCTGAGTTTTGGTAGAGGTGGTTAGCTGCTTTGCTTCTCTGATCTTCAACTTTAACCTCAATGCCTGTCTGAGTTTTTATTATTAAGACCAACTAGAATCCATGCTATAAGATACTGTTGACAACATATCGGGGCAGAACATAGCTCCCTCCTGTCATGTGACTTCCAGTTCCACAGAGAACCTTCACTGTGCTTTTATGCATTGGGCTCTGTGTTAAGCACTCTACATTTGCAATCTTCTTTAATCCTATGGCAACTGTGTGAAGTAACCTGTCATCCCTGTCACTCTCTGGCACAGACAGCATGACTGGAGGTCACTAGGTTGTAGGAGGCAGGGCCTCGGGACTCACCTGCTGTGGCCTCAGCCTGTCTGCCCTGTGTGTGGTGCAGCCTCTTGAACAGAAAGGGAACTTCCAGGTCTCTTATTTCCCCCTCCTTCCACAGATGTGGACCCAGAGGTATACAGATGGTGAGATGGCTCCGTTTATCATGGTCTTATCTTACAGAGCGTTGCTGTGTTCTTTTCTTCTCTGGGCAGACAATGCAGTATAAAGCACAGGGTCATAGACGCCTTCTTATGTCCCCTCTGTACCTTCTAAACGAAGTGTTAGGACTTGGTTGCTGAATGGTGCCACAGGCTCAGGTGTTTGCACTCGGTGCCCTGCTGGGGGACACCTTTTGGGAGGTTGTGGAACCTTCAGGAGATGGAGGTAATCTGGAAGACGTGGGGTACTGGAGGGTGGGTTGTAAGGGGTTACTGGCCACCAGTTCCTGACTCCTCCTACCTCTCTCCGTCTGCAGCTATAACCAGCCACCTCATAAGGCCACAGTTGTGAGCTCCTCCTGCCCCTGTGCCTTCCTTACCACAATGGGCAGCTGGCCCCTAAACAACAGCCCAACGTAGATCCTTCTTTCTTAAGGCATTTCTTTCATATCTTTCCTCACAGCAACAAGAAATGACTACAGATGGCTTCCACAGCTGTTGCTTGTGCTGTATCCTCTATTTGGTCTTCCTGCTCTGGCTTCTGTGGGTAAGAAAATGCCCTCCTCAATCCCACATGACTCCTGCACATCAGAAAGTGCATCTTCTGCCTCTGGCTATCTGTACGACCAATGCTGCCTTAAGGTGTCTGTGGTCATTGTCATCGTTGTCAGTTTACCTCTCTCCAGCCATCAGTGAACCAGTTCCCCTATGACAATGTCCCCAAGGGTGGGGAGAGACCCTGCAGCGGACTCCTTCTTCCTTCTCATGAGAGGCCACAGAGGGAGAGCTCGAGGCCGGTGTTCTATGAGCCTCTGCATCCACATTGGAACTCTGCAGTCACTAGTGGTCTGCACACTGCAAGGAACGACCTAGGCAAAGGGAACGGGTTGGTACATGATGGACCTGCTCCCATCATGGGGAATAGGAGAGTAGAGCTGTAGATTTTCTAGAACCATTCTCATCCCATGCAGTGTAATTGTTTCTAATAAATGTAATTTATTAAACAATGAAATATGACTTAAATTTATGCCCTTTGTAGGACTTTTTAATTTAAATAAATGCATGAATCAAAACAATGATAAAAAGAACAGAAAGTCTTTTTATGATCAAGAATACTAATTTGGACTTGGGAAAGCCATTCTCCCTATTTGTGGGGTGTCCTAGCTGGAAAGGCATTCAAGAGTGAGCTGACGGGGATCAGCCAGAGTTGGGAAGGGGTGGGGCCACACAAGTCTCCTAACTCACAGAGGGTGACTATAGTGACTGTAAAGTTGTGCACTGTGCAGAGAATCTCTAAAAGCACTATGGATGTTATTGATTTATACTTTGTGCCGTTTTCTGGTATAATCAGTATAAAATACATTGTATGTAGTATATATAATAACTATTTCAAACATAATGAAGAAACACACCTAGAAGAAATATGCCTATTCTCACACGTGCAGGGGTAAAGAAGACAACACGCAGAGCAGTATGGGTAAAGTAGAGCAGCCGGCTAGCTGACCCGGCAGCTATACAATCGGTCCATTCCTTCAGTGGCTTGTAACAGCCACTGTGAGTGAGAAGCTCCCTCATAGACTCATTCATTTGAACACTCGGTTCTCCTGTGGTGGAACTGTCTGGGAGGGCTATGCAGCACTCGGGAGGCAGAGTCTTGCTGGGGAAGTACGGCTCTGAGGGTAGAGTTCGCTTCCAGTTTGCTCTCTCTGCTTCATGTTTGAAGATGGGATCTCTCAGCTTAGTGCTCCAGCCACCATACCTGCCTGCTTCTATGCCTCCTCCCCCCCCCATTACAGAACTTTCCTCTAGAACTATTAGCCTACATAAGGTCTTCCATAAGTTTGTTATGGTCAGTAACTAATGCACCTATTCAAGTCTTTGGGAGATGACACCTGGGTTGCATCCTCAGAGACTCTGATATGACGGTCTGGCTTACAGCCTAAGCATTGGAAACATAACCTCTCTATGCAATTCTAACGTGCACCTACAATTAAGAACCCCCATGCTAGGCCTGGGAGACAGTGAAGCCGGTGAACTATTTCCCTTGCAAGAACAAGGGCCTGCATTTGATCCCTCAGAAACCTTGTAAAAGGTTGGGTGTAGCGGCATATGCTTGTAATCCCAGAGCTAGGAAGGATGAGATGGACAAATCCCTGGGATTTTAGCCAGCCAATCTAGGCTACTTGGTAAGCTTCAGACCAATGAGAGAACCTGTCTCAAAAAACAAGGCAGGTAATGACTGAGGAACAACAGCCCACAAACATGCCCCCACACATGCACCTGCACACAGGTATGGAGAGAGGGAGGGGTGGAGGAGGGAGGGAGAGAGGGAAGGAGGGAGAGGGAGAAAGGAGACAAAAATGAAAGGAAGAGAAGGAGTCATTATTGGCAGGCTGGATGACATCTGGAGAGATGCCGGGCAGATGGGTGGATGGATGAATGGGAGGCGTGCATAAAAAAGTGAGTGGAGAATGGATTGGTCACATAAGCTGGGGCTTCCCATGGCTCTCATGTTCTGCACAGCCAGATAAATTTTCTCATTGCCCCCAACTCCTTGAGCCCCACTCTGTGGCCACTGAGCATTAGCCAGTTCTTCTCAAAGAGACAACTCCGACTGTTCTAATTCCCGTCATTCACGGTCAGAACGTGTTGACTCTTCCCATGTGTGCAGTGGGCTCCAGCTCAGATTTCAGGGCTCTCTTTAAGGACCATCTGGAAGACTTTCTGGATCCCGGTGGAGAGCTTGCCCTCCACGCCTCTGTGGACTCTTGTCTTCCCTCCTCGCAGAACAGATCCCCTGCAATTGCAAACTGGACTCAGAAGGAGTAAAGGAAGACCGCAGAGGTTCACTTCTCCTGGACCCACACTGTGTGTCCTCACACCATTCCAACATTTGAGGACAAACTTTGTGACTACAGTCTCTGCAAAGTCTTTTGATGCCTTACCAAGGAATACGATGCTTCCAGAAGGCACCCCTTCCCCTGTCCTGCCTTGTAGTCCTTGTTTAAATCTGTCATGTGTCAATCTACAGATTTCTTCCCATGAGTCAGTTTCTGCAAGGACAGCTCTGCAATATGAAAATAACTGGAGTCTGTCCACTCGGATCAGCTATGGGGGATCTCAGCCAGAGCCAGAGGGGACAGCTAACGAATTCTCTGTGATTAGGAAGGTGATCGTTAACTGACAGTGCCTTGCTGCCCAGGGTCACACAATGAATTAGGGGCAGATCTGAAACTCAAAACCATTTCCCAGCTCCAAGCCTTACATTCAGGGTTTCTTTGGAAAGTTCTCCAAATGCTAGAGCCGCAGGCCTTCTTTGTACTAAGATAACAGCAATCAGCCCTATGTGACTGAAGCCCTGTTTGTGCGTTGGATGTGAAAGTCTCCTGTAGGTTCGTGTGTTTGAACATTTGGTTTCCAGTTGCTGGTGCTGCTCTGGAAGGTGGTAGAACTTTCAGGCTGTGGAGTCTCAGTGGATGAAGTGGGGGTGGGCCTTCACATTTGCTAGCTCAGCCTCACTTCCCATCTGCTCTCTGCTCTTGGACGATAGATGCAGTGTGACCAGTTTTCCCACCCTCTTGCTGCCAGGCCTCCCCCAGCTCGCTAGATGGCAGTGTGACCAGTTTTCCCACCCTCTTGCTGCCAGGCCTCCCCCAGCTCGCTAGATGGCATCCTTTCTTACGACAGAGCCCTTTCTCCCGTAAGTTGGCTTTTGCAAGATAAAATGGCAGTGATAAGGTAACCAACACACCCGCTTCTGAAGTCATCAGTGAAGACGTGGAATCCCTTTGAGAAAGGTTGTTAGGGAGAGTCAGTACTGAAGATCCTCCACTAGGGCATTTTAAAGGAATGGTGTCAGTCGGGGAAATCCCTAGTTGGGGGGGGGGGGGTTATGCAGGACTGCAGAGCTGGTTGCCAGCGCCACATGAGGATGGAGGGAAGGAAGCTGAGACCTTTGTTCCTTTAAAAGGAGTTTTAATCACCTAATGTTATTTCTTATTTTCTTTACCCCATGTTATACTACAACAACATGGGCCTCTGCTGGCTTATGTGAGTGTATACATTATATGCTAGGGTTTGCATATGGAGGACAACGTGCCTTCCTCTCTCCCTCCCTCCTCCCTCCCTTCCTCCCTCCCTCCCTCTCTCCTTCCTCCCTCCCTTCTGCATCATTCCACCATTCCTCCCTTACTTTACTCTCTATATTAATTGTCTTAGCTCCCGTATGGAAGTAGAGACCTTGTTCTTTTTCTGCCTGCTCTTCTGGATTACTACTCAATGTCTTTCAAAGCAGAGTGTGTAGTCGGGCGAGGTCATAGGTCCGGCAGATATTTGGTGATGCCAGACTGACAGCCTCGGGCTTTGCCTCCGTTTTCCTGAGGACAGCGATGAGGGTCCAGGAAGCCCCTCCAAGCTCAGGGCTCTTCATCAACTTTCCGCCACCGAGTTGCTGCTTCCCGTAGATCCATTAGCAAAAGGCCTCTGCAAATGGAAGACTAATAATTACCTGTGATAAGCAGTATAATTTTGCAATTTAATTCTATAGGTTTGATATAAATTATCACCTGTGGTTGTGTACTTGTAAATAGTGAAATGGTTTAAGTCTTTAAGTTATAGTTCTCACAGTATGCTATTTTTATATTGATTTTTTTTATCTGTGCCAAAATGGCAAGCAAGGGAAGAGAGCATTATGGGCCTGATGACACTGCTTCAAGTCCAAGTTCACTGTCACTGTGTCTGTAGCAGCCGCCCAGATTTTCTGAAAGCTGCCAGAGTGACAGCCAAGGATGTCTTTCTTCTGACTAAGCTCTCAGGGCAGGCCAGTTTGGAAGAGTCACAGTAATTGGAAGAGCCTCTTCCTGGTGGTCTGAGGAGGGATTCAGCTGTGTGAGGGCAGTGACCTCACTTGCAAGGGACCTTAAACCTGAATGTGCAGATTACATCCCAGCCTAACACAACTAAGCTGGACTCCCTGGGGGTCGTGAGACCTGACAGAAAGGCCACCACTTCTGACAGGCTCCTTATCCCATGGCTCTGGGCTCAGTGGGGAGGAGCTGGGAGAAACGAAAAGGAGAACTGGGGACTTTAAACTATCTCAGTGTCTTGTTAGGGTTTCTAGTATTGTGATAAAATGTCATGACTGAAAGTAAGGGAGGAAAGGGTTTATTACTCCTCTCAGGTCACTCTGTTACTGAGGGAACCTGGGGACAGCAAATGAAGCTGGCTTTCCTCTCATGGGTCACTCAGCCTGCTTCCCATACATCCCAGGACACCTGCCCAGGGGTGGCACAACTCTCTGATGCCAATCATTAATCAAGAATTGCCCCACAGACTTGTCTACAGGCCAGTCTTATGGAGACATTGTTTTCAATAGAAGTTTCCTCTTTGCAAAAGACTCTAGCTTATGTCAAGTTGACAGAAGCCACCTAACACTTGCAGAACATATACACCACGAGTAACCACGGAGCCCCACTTCCTCTGGTGGCTGCCTGTGGAAGGGAGCTAGAGCTGCCTGCCTGTCTGTTCCAGATTAAAACAAAACCAAAAACCAACAACAACATTCATGTATGGTTGTATGTGTGGCAGTACACTCTAATCCCAGCACTCAGAAGGCAGAGACATGAATCTCTGTAAGTTAGAAACCAGTGTAGTCTACAGAGTGAATTCCAGGGCAACAAAGATAGACTGTCTATCATTATACAGAGATAGAACCCACAAAATAAAGACAAGACTTGGTTAATGAAAGTCAAAGTTTGGTTCTACTTATGCAGTGCGCAAACGTATATGTGCAGGATGTAAACCATCTTATTTGTAGTCGGGTTTCCTGGCATTTTATCTTTCCTCTCACACACTGCACCAATATATTTTAAAGTATTTTTCAATATGTGTATGTGTGTTGGGGGGATCTCTGTAGATGTCAGAGAGGGTGACAGGTCCCACAGAGCTGGGCTTACAATTGATTTTGAGCCTGGGAACTGACCTCTTAAAACAAAGACATGGGTGCAAGGTGGT